TTTACAGATGTGGGGAATGGGTAAAAAGTACAGTAATTCCTCATTTAACACTATAGATGCATTTCTGAAAACGTTTGTGCTAAGCGAAAACGTGCTATGCGGGGTCAATTTTCCCATTAAAAATAATGGAAAACGTGGGGGTTGCATTTCAGGTGGTGGTGGCAAAGTCAATTTTTTGTTGGTGGTCGGTCGTCAACATCAGCATTAGATATCTAGCAACACAAGTCGCCACGGTTTGTTAAAACACAAAGAAACACATGAGCGAGAGGAGGAATGCTGTGACTACATGTATTCATCTGCTCATGCGTATTACCACTGTTTTCACCAACTTACACCGCCACACGAAGTACTCCACCACGTGTTATTTCGGGGACAGTCATGTTATTCAAAAAAATGTTCCCTAAAAAAAAAATCGTGCTGTTGCAAAAATGTGTTAAGCGGGCACGTGTTAAATGAGTAATAACTGTACTAGAATTTGTGCTGTCTTTTTGGAAACGCCACCTGTTTTCCCAATGAAGTGACTCCTATTTGCAGGACAGCATTCATTGCTGGAGTGGGAAGTTGCAATTTGTATTTACGTGTGCTAGCTGAAGTCAGTATCGCAAATTGGGGGCAGATCTAAGATTAGTGTTTTGGCTCCCAGTTTGATGCATAACCTATAAGATGCAGTGTGGGGCTGGCGAGTAGGTTTCACCGCCGTTTGTCAAGCCCTGGTAATATAATTTTTTTAAATAGTCAAGTTTTGTGGTTTCAGGTGTGTGTGTGAAGTTCCCCAGGGTTGTAACTATGGGGCTCCAGACCTGAAAGGAGTTCATTTCAAGTTGTCATCCTTACCTCTGCACTGTTGCTGACAAGAGTGCTGCCTTCAGAGCTGGGCTCTCTGTCAGCAGCCTCAAAGCTTCCTGCAGCCAAGGGAGGTTCCTGGTAGTACGTCTGACCTGACCCTGGGAGCAGCCTTTGCAGGGCTTGGCATACAGCAGGAGCCCTCTCCACTACAATAGGCAGGTTTAACCAGGTGATCAGATTCACAGTCCGTCGCACCCATGAATTTGGTAGAGCCCTAAATAGGGATGTAAATGACTATTCAACTACCCAATAAGCCTAAGTCACTCCTCCTCTCCCCTGCTGCCAGCTAGTGGGGGGAACAGGAGCTGGAGCTGGGGGGAGCTGGCTTAAAAACCTTTTCCCCCAGCATGGTATCGAAGATGAAAAGTCCCAATCTTTTTAATCTCTCTTCATGTGACCCATTACAATCCCTAATAATTTTTGTTGCTCTTTTCTGAACCTTTTCCAATGCCAGTACATTTTTTTTTTAGATGAGGTGACCACATCTGTATGCAGTATTCAAGATGTGAGTATACCATGGATTTATAAAAAGACAATAAGCTATTCTCTGTTTTACTCTTTCTTTCATCTCTATCCCTATCACCCATAGCTAAGTTTTGTGTTTCTATTGGTGATGCACATTTCTATATGCTTCCATGTACATAAAAAAATATTCTGCACATGGATGGAAAATATTAGAGGGAACACTAGCCATCACTCCCTACAGATCCCATTGGCAGGGAACGGTGAACAGCAGCCAATAGGAGCTGCAAGTGGCCATACCTACAGATATGCAGGCAAACAAAGCATCTCTCAGCCCACCAGGAAGTAACCATCACAAACTGTATCTTTTGGTTTGAGCGCCACGTATTGCCTGCCCCTGGTTTAGAACAGCCACAGCATCTCTGAGCCAGGAAAGCACAAGTTTACATCAGTTTCAGGACATGATGTTTAAAGCATGTTTCACCAGACATGCTGAGGATGTTAAATTTCTTAATTGCAGTTGTTAGGTTACATTTATTGTTGTGACACGTGCTGCTAAATTTGTTTGTGGCTATAGATGAGTCATAGACATCTATGTACATTTAAAAAAAAAAAACACGAAAAAACTGCCTGGCTAATTTTTTAAAAATGTCAAAAATAGAATTTCTTATTTTGTGTGCCCAAGCCCACAACAAAGCATGTAGTGTCTCAATTTAGCTGATTCAGAGTACCATGACACAGGGTTTGATCAGCTGGTTCTTATATGCCAGACAGATATTTTAACTGGCAAATAGCAAATTTGCCTTAAAGTGCTCATCTGCATTGGATCTGTACATTTCCAAGAGCTGTAAAGAGCGACTAAGTGGAAACAAGCTTAATACAGCACCTACTGGGCTAGTCACAGAACTCTTTTTCAGTTCATTTGATGGAGCTGCTACTGCAACCAATAAATTAGAACTCTTTTGGTTCCAAGTACAGCTACTTGGGCAAGATGTACAAACAGCTTGTCCTGCCAACAGAGATGTGAAGGACTGAAGTAGGTGGTTGCATTGGCTCTGGTGCTTGGCACCAGTTACCATACACAAAAGCCTTGCACTGTACTTACAACGTGACAACATTAGTAGAGGTGCATGAGACAGTACAAGGCTATTGCCATTCTTTTAGAAGCATTAATTCCTCTGATTTTTGATTCAAGTCTGCTTGGTCAGAAGGGAAGAGAAAGTAAAGAGTAAGTGTTTCTCCACCAAACTGATGAGTCCTGACTGCAAAGGAGGGTTTCTATGGATAGCCACTAGTAGTATGGGTTTTCCCTACCCTGCATGCTTCCTGCCCCAGGGTTTGCTTTCTTCTATCTGCACAGTAAACAGATCTAGAGCTGAAGCCAATGTTGGTGAAATTTGGTGTGCTAATTGGAGCATATGCTAATCCAATCATGATTCTGTAGGACTTTTCTGTGAGCTGTGTTGATCATGGACAAATGAGCAAATTATTGGGAATCTTTTTTCCCCATTTATTTTACTGAGAACACCACGAAAGTGATGTTTCAATAGTAGCATTGTTGTGCTGCTGTGCATCTGATGAATAAAGCAAGAGGGCACACTCAATAAGCATATTACATGAAAACAACAAAAAAAGATAGGATTTTCATAAACTTTCATCCATCATGATAGGCATCAGTTTTAACAATAACTAAAAATCACCTACAGCATGAAATCACTGTAATAAACATCTGGGTGCTTTGGCATTAAACGATCACTTCTACTAGGCACTCATTTTGATGGTCTCCAAGGTGATCTAGACTAGTAATGAGCAAACTACCTTTGTCTAATTTCATATTCACTTAAACAACCACCTTCTGGCCTCATTGATTGAAGCACCAAGAGTCAAGACCTGGCCCTAATGGAAAGACTGACAAATTATACTGAAAATTTTGCATAGGTAAGACCATGAAAGAGAGGCTACAGGGAGAATAAACTCCAATTAAAAAAAAAAAAAAAGAGTATAGAGAACAAGCAACAAATGAAAACATAGTTTCAGTGTATTTATATATCATATACAGAACACCCATTTGCACCAACCTGACTATTGCACACCCAAATATATACAGTCCTGCAAATCCACGGACATCCCCTTTATATCAGCGGTTATCCACATCTGCAGATATCCACAGCTCAATTTTGTGTATATAGATGTAGATGTGGATACAAAATTTGTTTCTGCACGGGGCTCTAAAGATATGCAGCACAGGCACCTTTTTAGTAGATTTTTTAAAATTGAACAATCCCTTTTTAAAGAGAGGTTGGAGAATGATTATGGGCATTGTGCTACAGAGAAAACATACAAAAACAAGAGTTAGAACGAAAGAACTCCGCAACATTCCACTATCCCTGCTTAAAGCAAGTGCCATTGCCTGAAAATTCAGAGGAGTCTTCTTCAATAAGGCGGATGGACCATATTTTTTAAAAGATATTTAGGCCCCTAGAATGAAGATAGGTGCCAACTGCAATTTTCAAAAGTGTCTTAGCAGCTAACGCCCATAAATTTAAATGGGAATTAGGCATTTTTCTATGTTCCGTTAGATGCCAAGCTTCCTCTTTAAAAAAAAAAACTTCAGAAGTTTGGCCCATCAGGGCCTAAGTGTCACTGAATCTCAATAGGTAGAGCCCTGCAAGGATAAAAAAATTAGTATCCATATCCACATCTGCAAAAATGATTCACAGATATCTGCGTCCACATCCATGGACACCCATACAAATAAAACGGATATCTGTGGATTAGTAGGGCTCTATCAATAAGGCCTTAGCCCTAAATCACTTCTGAAAAAGGAACTTACACCTCCAGTCTGGTCCATTAAATGGCAAAGCATCAATATGAAGGCTCCTACAGGATGACTGTTTTCAGAGTATTTTACAATGAAAGGGCTTTCTCTTGTTCTGAAGAAGCCTGAATCACCATGGGTGAAACAGCAATAATACCATACCACTTCCGTTCCTAAACACATAAAAAGATATTTGAAATACATCCAGAACATTTACTGCTGATCCTACAGTTGAAACAAAATATCAACCAATTAATTAATCACACAGGATCAAATAACAAACACCAACATAGGGCACTCAGAGCAAGCCTCAAGGAAGCAAGCAGCAGTGATAGCAGTGAAAGGAGGCTGGGAACAGGAAGGAAGACTGGTGTAGGTAATGGAGTGGGCAGAGGAAAAAAAAAAAGAATTTTAAACCTAGCTCTTCCATCAACTAGGCCTGTGGGTTTGGGCAAATTTTCAGCTTCTCTGCACTCTGTCTTCTTTTTGCTTCTAAGCATATTTAATACTGACACATTTCCCAATGAAGATTCACTAGTTGTTTTGTTTTGAAAAAATCTCTGCAGATGAAAAGGAGCAAAATTCCACTCAGTCACACCAGTTTCAATCTAGATCAACTCTGGATTGAAGCCAAATGGGATTACAGAATGTAGCCCCAAATGGCTTTCTTTTAAGGTGCCTTGTGGATTTAGGCAGGGAAAACATAACAGAGGAACATGAATGCCTTCTGTAGATGGGGTGGGAGGACTGGAAAGGCACAACATGCTGGGGGAGTGTGTGTTTTACAGGAATGCACGGTAAGAGGCCAGGCCCCTCAGGAACCAGCCCTCCTGTACCACCTGGACTACTCAGCAACTGCAGGTGTCTCTCTTACCTTCCACTAGCTCCTCCAGGCTGGTGAGTTTCCTGCTGCCATCGATGGTGTAGATGGTGCGGACCCCCTGGGGCAGGTTGACATTGTCCGACAAGGACCGGGTGAGTTCGATCAGGAGAACATCGAAGGAACGAAAGCGGTCGCTGGAAATGGCAAACACCAAGCCCTTGAAGTACCTGTCCCCATTGCGGTAGAACCGGGCTTTCTTTGCTTTCTTCTCCGAGCTGAGGGCCTGCAGCGTCCGCGTGCGGTAGAAGCTGCAGTGGGCGCTGTGCGCGGGGCTGGGGATCAGCCCGTTTCCCTTGGGCCCGGAGCTGCTGCTGCAACTCGAGCTGGTGCCCGCTCTGCGGGACCCCGAGCGCTGCTGCCTTTTGTCCCGCTCCTCGAAGTGCTCCAGCTCAATGCTCCTGTTGCTGGCCATTTATTGCTTTATTTATTGCACACACCCCCCTTTCCAACAGCTAGTCCCCCAGCCTTGCCTTCCCCCAGGCTGCAAGGGGCCGCGTCCCCAGAAACCCGCAGCTAAGCCCGGCTCAGGGCACGCAAATACAGCGCCCACCTAACGGAGCATCACGCCCAGCCAACCTGCCTGCACGACTCTGCCGAGGGGGTTGCACGCAACCCGCTCAGCATTCACACCCGGCGCGCCACCAGCAGCGCGTTGCCCTTGGGACTTACAGTCCTGCCTACGGCGCGGTGGTCTTCGCCCCCCGCTTAACGCACACACGCGCCCCCGCCCAAAAGCATCCCTGCCGGCTGCCCGAGGCGAGCCTAGCTCCGCGTCCCGCGGCTAGACACAGCAGCTAGGACACAGGGCACAAACTTCGGCGGGCTGAGGAGTTGCTGACGGGGGCAGCTGGCTCCCAGCCGAGGCCACGCAGCCTCACACAATAAAGAGGATGCCGCTAGCCATGATGTCCCCAATCATGCCATTCTCGGCGGAGGGAGAGGTGGGGGTGGGGACGGCACGTCTAGCCCGCCCGCTCCCCGCGCCTTCCAATCCCGAACGCCCGGCTCCAATTGCCCAGCACAGCGCGTCGGGAGCCCGCCGGGGCTCGGCTCGCATGGGCGGGTTGCAGGGGATGGCGCACGCGGCGGCCGCCGCTACCGCATTCGCCGCCTGTCCACAAGGCGCCCAGAGAGAGGCACAAATCCAGGCCCGCCCCCTCCCCAGCGCTGCAACAATCAGCCCCGGAGCCAGCGGTCCCACCCGGCGCAGCTCCCGCGGGTAGGCTCGGCAGCAGCTGCCCGAAACCGAAACGCCCGCTCGCCACCCCCCTGCTGCTTTCCTATGCCGGCGGCAGCTTCCAAAGCGGGCGCAGAGGCTCCAACAGGAGGCGCGAGCTGCGGCTACAGCCCGGCCAGTTCGTGATAATGGCAATGCAGCGTGTGAGGCAGGCGAGGGCTTCTCCCGGGTCCTAGACAGACGCCAACTCGCGCACTAATGAGCCCAGCTGGGTTTGAGCAGGAGCTGCTGCTCATCCGCCCCATTGTAGTCAGCGCTGGAGTTGCAGGTTATACCGAGAGCCCTTTCAAATGCCTGGCCAAGAAAAACACGTCATGGGCCATGAAATCTGTTATTTTCCGTGCTTTTGTCTTACGCTGTAGACGTAGAGACTTCACAGAAGAGACCCAGGTTTCTTAAATTGGAGGGGGGCTCACTCAAGAGGGAGTGGAAGTGGAGGGAAGCTGTGGTTTTGCCACCCTTACTTCGGTGCTGCCTTCAGAGCTGGGTGGCTGGAGAGCAGTGGCTGTCAGTCAGCCACCCACCTCTGAAGGCAGTACCCTGCCAACAGAAATATGGGTTGCAATGTCATACTATGTCATCCATCCTTTTGCAGCAGCACTCTGCAAAAGTAAGGTTCATGATACTGCAACTTGCCTAACAATAACCTTCACCCCCCCACACACACCCACACAACTCCTTTTTGGGTCAGACCCCTACAATTACAGAACTATGAAACTTCAGATTTAAATAACTGAAATTATGAAAATTACAATTCTTAAAATCCTATGAAGACCTTGAAATTGACCAAAATGGACCATGAATTTGGTAGGCTCCTATGGGCACCCCAGACCAGTTGGCCAGCCAAGGTGTAAAGCACCATCACAAGGGAATGAAAGATGTTTATGTAAGCGGGGGAATGGTCCCTCTATTGTGGGGAACTTTCCTGGCTTCTATACACCCTGGTGAAATGAACCAGCGAAAGGATCTGAGTCCCCGCTCCCACTTCCTTTCCCCCACAGCTCCCTGATCCTGAGGGCTCCCCCTCCACTCTCCTGAGTAGCAGAGCCCTTGAAACCCCAACAAGGCTGGGCCCAGGTTTCCTGGGGCTTAATCCCGGACCTTTTAGTCACTAGGGGCAGGAGTTAGGGTGTCCCCACTCCGAGGTGCTCTCTTTACACTGCAGGCCTTCTTGGCCCAGTGATCACTTCATAAGGTTCAAAGCAAATACAATTTATTAAACATCAACTGATTAAAGAGAATAGAATAAGAAACAATGAGAATGGTTAAATGAGAACACACAGCCCTGCTCTGTAGCACAGGGACATCAACACAGCAGTCTGCAGAGTGTAAGGACAGTCCACAGTCTCTTCCTTAGAAGCCCTGGATGTGCTGCAAGGGACTGCAGGCTGGACACACTTGCACTGGCAGTGACCACACAGCCTCAGTCTCTAAGTGGCCAGACCCCTCTCCCAGTCCAGAGCCTTTCCCCACACTTTGCAGGTCCCAGTAGCTCACCACATCCAGCTGCAGGCTGTGCTGCTTGGCCAGTTCCAGCTCCTTGTGTTGCTTCTCTGTTCCTTTTGGCTTTCTGAGCACTGCCAGTCTGCTGCTCAACACAGGGTCTGCACTGCTTGGCCTGTCTGTGTCTGGTTCTGTCGCTGCAGGACTTCTTCTTGTACTCCTCTTTCAGCTCTCTGTCTTTGCAGGACCTCTTCTGCACACAGCTTGTTTGTTCAGAGACAATTCCAGCTCACAGAGAGGACGGGGCCTGGCCTCTCACTGTCCTCACTGGCCTGTCCAACCTGTCAATCAGGCTGAGCTGGAGTGTTGGCTGCTTTCCATTGTCTCTGAGGTCAGTCAGTCTCATGAACTCTTCCCCTTCAGATACTGTGAGCTGGCAAACCAAAAACTCCCACAGAGTTTTAGTAAGGGGTAACAGTCCCCTTACATTTATGTAGATAGTAAAGAGGTTAGGACAGCTCCCAGGTAAGAGCCAGTTACCTTCAGTGAAGACAAACGCTGCCAATCAAATTTGGAAAAAGCAAGGAAAATCAAGGACAGAACTGAGAATCTCTTCACGCTCCAACTTTTGTATTGCTGATACACCGTTAAAAGCATTTTCGGAACAGAGCGCCTAGATTGGCACGGACGCTTTTCCTCAAAAGCACTTTTTGCGGAAAAGCATTCATGGCCAATCTAGACGCACTTTTGCACAAAAAAGCCCTGATCGCCATTTTCGCAATGGGGGCTTTTTTGCGGAAAACAAATCTCAGCTGTCTACACTGGCCCAAAAGGAACTTTTGCTCGAACGGGAGCAGCATAGTATTTCCACAAAAAGCACTGATTTCTTACAGTAGGAAGTCAGTGCTTTTGCGGAAATTCAAGCGGCCAGTGTAGACAGCTGGCAAGTTTTTCCAGAAAAGCGGCTGATTTTCCGGAAAAACTGGCCAGTCTAGACACAGCCTTACTGTCGGGGAGGAAAATAAATTACATAATTGGAAAAAACATTACCTGTTCGTAGTAAAACATCCTCCCAAATCACAAAGACAGCAAGCCAGACTTTGCTCTCATATATCGGTAAATTAATCATATGTCAGGAGTGTAAATGAAATCAGAATCAAGCTCGCTATTATTATATTATTTCTCAGAACATATTTGTCTTAAATATGTATATCTGAATTCTCCATTCAGTTACACTCAAGTAACATGATTGGCCTCAATAGGGTTATTCTGGGATTTTTTTACTAGAGTAATTGAGCTTAAAATTTGATCTTTGTGTTTTAGGTCACCAGCCCAGTTAGCATAAGGTTGCTTGGTTTCTCTATTGTTTTGAAATAAATATTGTCAGTGAGGAGGGGATACAATGTTAATATTTTTAAAATTGTTCCTTACCCAGGTTACTAATTGGAGTCTCAAATTCTGGGTTTATGTTATAAACCAGTATCTAGAGCCCCAGTTCCTAGGGTCATGTGATGACATATCAAGCAAAGATTTCATTTGAAAAAAAGTTTCTAGACCTGAGGGTTGTCAAAAAATAACCTTGAAAAAGTAACATTCCTTAAAAGTGTGCAGTCAAGTCTGAAACAATAGATTTAAGATTTGTGAATTTCTCCAAGTATCTCAATGGAAAAATAGTATCCCAAATCCCACTTCTAGTGAAAACTCCACCAAAGATCTCCTGGTGTGACAGAGGAGAACAGTGCAGAGGGCAGGGATGTAAAAAGGTGCTTAAAAAATTAACCATATAACTGCTAAAAATCCTAATGGTTACATGCGATGTGGGCTCTGAAATATAAAGCTTAAATAAAGCTGCTGGCTCTGCACCCAAAGAGGCTTGCTGCAGGCTCTGCACCTGGTTTCCTGGACATGAAGCCAACAGCCCCTACGGACCATCCTCCTGGGGAACCAGCATGTAACCTGCAGTAGGGAGTGGGGAGAGCCCCTGTCTGCCACAGAAAGGGGCTGCTTTTTCCCCTGCCTGCTGTGGAGAGAGGAAAGGGGCAGGGGAGCCTGTCACAGACAGGGGCTGCTCTGGCCTGTGGTGGACCTTGTGGGGCTGGAGCAGCCCCCTGCCTGGACTAAACAAGGATCTGCTCCAGCTCCTACTGATTAACTGGAATCAGTAAGCCTCACCTATTAACGGTGAGGCTTATTGGTTAACCATTTACATCCGTAGCAGAGGGTTCAGCCTATCTCTACCCAAATGAGTGACTGGCAACCTAGACTAGCGAGTGGGCCACATGAGTGCCCCTGCTTCATCTCAGTGGGCTATAAGATTGCTGTAACCAAGACTGTCTCCTAGTATAAGATAGTTTTGCTAATAGCATTTGCATACCTAGAATCTGCAGTGCGCTGATTGAATCACGTCTGTCCTTTGATTGGATGGAGAGGTACCGCACAGCTCTTATAGTCAATTTTGTGTGCAATCAGCATGCACCTCACTTCACATGTCCTTGCTTTACCTATGTGTCCCTTTAGTAATACCAGTAAGGGGAGGAAAAATGATGTGGATGGAAACTAATGGAATCTGGCAACCCTGCACGTGGTAAACAAAATGGTAAACAAAATTGTGGAAGCAGGCTCTTTGCTGGCCAGGCCTCTCGCGCATATTGCCATCCAAGCAAAAGGTCAACTTCCCCTTGATGAAAAACCTTACATTATGTAACTTAAAAATCAGCGACGAACAGGAACCAAAACCAGACCTGAAAAGTTCATATAAAGTTCGTGCTGGTTGTGCTGACTGTGCCATGCCCGATAAGGCAGAAAACGAAAAACAGGAAACCATCTCACCCCCTTACTCCTGTCCCTTAACAGACAGGGTCTGCTAGCCTATCACAAAAAGCGCGCAAAAGCTTTCTCTATAAAACAGCTTCCCCTCCTGTATCAAATTGAGGAATCCCGAATAAACATTGGACGGCAGAATATGAGCCAGGTCCGAGGACTGATCACTCGAGGGCCACCTCCTGCTCACCGAACCAAATGAGTTCCTGTAGAGCATAACATATACCAAACATAACGAATACCAAATATGTTGTTGTTATTGTTGTAGTTTGTGTGTCTGTTAAATGTAAGTATTGTTATCTGAAATTGTTTAGAGGTATTGTTAAGTAGTAGCGTTAAGAGTTTTAGATAAATGATTAGTCTTATAAGTAAGACTGACGTAAATGTAACTGTTAATAATCCCTGGTCTCTTGTTAACAACTATTGGGATTTAGAGAAACCTCAACGAATTTTCTTTACTGTATTGCATTTTGTTTATTGGACATTCTAATAATTATTTGGTGCCTATGTATGTAAGAAATTGATAAAATAATAATTTATATGTAGAAGCCCTTTAATAAAAGTTTAAAAGATATTTAATAATAGTTTGCCTGTTTCTGCGCCTCCCTGGGGCTAGCCACATTTCCGAACCTTTTACTTTAAATCACAAAAATGTCTTGTGGTCATCCATAGAACCCCAATGGTCTGCATGCCACCCAGGGACAATAGGTTGCCCACCCCTCACCCAAATAGGTATGCCCCAACTTCTGAGGCAAGTATTAGAGATCCCTTCTGCTGCTTGTCGGTAGGGAGAGGGAATCCCTGTGCCATTCCTGGAGAGAAAAAGTGTCCCTTGTCCACTGATACTCCGGACTCTAGCTGTCACTATT